TATAAAACAAAAATATATAATAATCTTTTCTTTTTACAGTATGTAAATTGCCAGCATTTTTGCTAATATACAAAGCAGTACAGTTCTTAATTTTGTTGCTCTGACAGAAAGTGGCGAATAATGGTAAAATGGTAGAAAGTTTGATGCATTACTTTTTACAAGTCACACAGTCCTCCATTGGGGTCTCCTTCCGAAACTTTCTCCAGTATGCCATTGACGAATTCTGTCGTGCGTCCAGCCACTCTTGTAGGATCTGAAATATTTATAATTGCATCTTACTTCTTGATAGATGAAGGTTATATAAATCGATCTATAAATTTAATTTTTAAGGGTAACTAATACAAATTGTGTGACAACAGATGGAAACTCTTAACAACTTTATAGCAAGGAGTTTCCAAAGTGTATGAGTGTTACTTTTAATGCAATTCTGAGCAAATTCTATTAAAAATAATTCTGCCATTGTAGACCCCTTGCAACAAAAAATGGAACTACTTTTGAAACTGTAGAGATAAACATGCTTATAAAATTTTTAATTAATTGTAGACACCCTGGAGATAGATCAATAATGCTTCTTAACCTTGTAAATAAGCAGGACTTCTATACTGAATTTAAGGTGGTAGCTTTTAAGTCCTGTTTAACAATAAATGCAACAACATTTGTTTCCTATTTGTTAAAATCATATAGAGTTCTGAAAAGCTTGTAAACCCACATTAAATAAAATATAACTGTCTGAGGAGGGTCCATAGATGGTCAAATCATGTAATATAAAACATCAAATAAAATGAAACAGAGTTCTAAAAACTTTGTAGGCCTCCATATTGGTGATGAACAATATGGAGGCCTACAATTTTTCTTGTAACAATAAGATTCGTATATGTGGACATGTCAATTTGGAAATTTATGCTAATACAGTAGAGCGTCGGTTATCCGAAACATTGGTTAACTGAAAGCATTCCAGTCGGCAAATTTAAATTTTCGCTAGTGCTGTGGCGCTGCTATCTTGGGCTACTCCAATATTTTTATTGTTGGTGTGTGTGTTTCAGCTGGCAGCACTGGCACTTTTGTGTGGTGTTTTTCTGTGGACTGTGTGTCGTGCAGAATCGAACATTTTTGATACTAGATCAACTTCTAAAATATATATATATATACTTTTTGTGTTTATATTTTTCAATATATTTATTTTGTTTATAAAAAATAAAGAAATAATTTGTAACGCTTGATTATTATTTTAAAAAGTTTATGTTAGGCTTAACATCGATGAAAATTCAATGGGAAGCGACACGCAACGGAGAAAAATTTCAACATGGGATAGGTTAATATATTTTTTCGTACATAATTGGTTATTCAAAAAATAAGTTATCCGAACAACCCCAGTCCCCAATTGATTTGGATAAACAACGCTCTACTGTAATATCATGTAATTACAAGGTTACTGATAAGCTCTGCAAGTTCTCTTTGTCTGTTACATACTTGAGACTGGATAAGATCTTCCAGAATCATTGATGGAAAACAATAGCAACTACCTGGGAGGTTGAAAAACAAGGTGATAAGGAAGTGGCAGCTGGTTTTGGAATGTTGAGATGAATGAGTCAGTGTTTTCAGGCTCATCAGACAAGAAAAAAAAACAAAATGTTGATATATGGGAGTACATTCTAGACTTACATCTATAATAAATTTGAGGACAGGAGTTCATCACATTTAAAGAAAGGGCCTTCTTTTTTTCCGAAGTCCATCTCAATGCAAGAACTTACATTTGTGGTAAGTTCATTATCTCTTTGTCTCATGTATGGCCAGGAATGTTATAATATAACTTATTTTATAATTATATATAGTAGTCTGGTTAACTTGATATTAGATTGTGATGGTTGTCTTTCATGGCATTTTGCTTTAGAAACAAAATTGCTATTTCATAGGATAAAAATTTTTGTACTTAAGATAATGAAATTATTCAACTGAAATCAGTTTTATTTACAGGCTATAAGAGGAAATTAAATCTTGAGAGAAAAATCATGGTTTAGTTTATTGGTTTACAGCAACATGACAGATGGGAGATCTTTTATGGGAAACTGGCCCCTATTTAGGTGTTACTAATCTGGATAGCCTGTTAGCAAGGCACGAACCTGCAACGACTACCAGTGTTTGGTGGGCAAAAAATCAGATCCTGGAACATTGAAAATGGAACAAGAATCTTCCACCAGGGACACCAGGGAGAACCATTTCATGAATCCTATTGTTCTCCAAAAGAAACTCATCCCTGTAAAAATTATGAGTGCTATGGAAACAGCAAGAATAAGCAGAATTTTGAACAGCCTATATTTGTGAAAGGCTCCTACCATTCCACAAAACAAATATTTGGCTGGAAAAGCTGCAAGAGATACAGTAGAACAATTCTTTAATTTGAAACATTTATTACCAAATCAATATCTGATTGTAGTTTTAAAGCAGAGTTAGGATAGAAGAGGCAAAAGGGTACTAGTTGACTAGGTTAAAGGTGAAATTCAGAAAAGACAAAATATATTTTCTGTCTTTTTTACAGTGGAATCTATGATAGAGTTCAAGGGAAACTGAAAACAGGAAAAGGCAGATTTTGATAATTTTAAAAAATTATTTCCAAATACTCATAGAGAAAACTGAACTATTAAACAAATTCTAATTTATGTCTACAAAATAAAGAAAGAAAGAAAGTCTCTTGCAAATAGAACATTCCAAACTTTAGATGATTGCATGGATGCCATTATGAAACTGGATTCAATAATTAAGGGAAAATGTCTAGTGGAATTTCAAGGTCTCCTAAGCCCCAATTTTTCCAAAGAGAGGACCCTATTTCCAAGCCAATAAGATTGTCCTTGTACAAAGCATATTCATGCAAACAAGCTTCTTATTTGATATCTCAAAAGTTTTAACACTCGTTTAAGAACATAAATGCTCCCAAGGCAAAATGAATTTGAAGGTAAAGTGTTTTTTCTTATTAAAAACCATAATTTAAACATTTGCTGTGTCTGTAAGTCTTGATTCATCTCTAGTTTGTTTGGAAAGAGTCTTTTCATATTTTTCCAACGAATGTTTTAAAATTTAGTTTTTAATGACAATTCTTAGTTCTATTTGAAGTGCTCACTATTGATTGTCTAATCCAATCTCATTTTTATTTTTTAAAAGCATACTGCCTCCACTGCTGGTATGCTGATCTGGGAGGTCAACATGAAACAGCAGTATGTTCAGAAAATCCTGTTCTCTGATGCTGCCTTCTTGGCAGAGCTACAAACAGCCAGAATTTTCCAGGAATATCTCTCCCATTTTGTCATATTTTTTGTCTGCTTATTCTCCAGATTTGTGTTCTTTGAGCATTTGTGGGACTGGACAGGCTGCCAGCTTTGGCTATGTAAGAGCGAGAGTGACCTGGAGCAACAGTTGCAGGGTCTGCATCTTCACATGTATCCATGCAAGAGAAGGTTGTACAGGGTATAGAAATTTTTTATTAACTTGTTCCATTGTTTCAATATTGTAATTGCTTATTACCATATCTTTAACTGTATGAAAAGTATTGATTTACAATTCAGTTATTAGTTTAAAAATATTCAAATGATTTTAATACAGTAGAGCGTCGATTTTCCGAAAGTCAATCATCCGAAAGAATTCCAGTCAGCAAATTTAAATTTTCGCCAGTGCTGTGGCGCTTCAATCTTTGGCTATGTCTTGGGCTACTCAAATATTTTACGTTTTTGATACTAAATTAACATCTGAAGTATAATTTTTTATTGTTTTTATATTTTTCAATATATTTATTTTATTTGTACAAAATAAAAAAAATTAATTTTAACGATACAATAGTCTTTGTTAGGCGTAACATCGACGAAAATTCAACGCGAAGCGACACGCAACGGAGAAAAATTTCAACATGGGATAGGTTAAACTATTTTTTCGTACATAAATCGGTTATCTGAAATATCAGTTATACGAACAACCCCAGTCCCCAATTGATTCGGAAAATCGACGCTCTACTGTAATTATAAAACAGTGTTTTATAATTACAGTAGTTTTATAAAACAGTGTTTTATAAAACAGTGTTTTATAATTACAGTATATATTTTATATAATTCACTGGATTGCACACTTTNTATATATATATATATAATATAAACATATTTTTGAACATTTTATGTCAAAATATTATTTTTGAATATTTAATATAAATTTATTTACAGATTATTTGTACTAAAATATTTAACAACAATAACGAGGCAAGAATATAATTTACAAGTACAAAAATAATTTTTTTAGATCTTCTCATACAAGAGATTTCTCATAATTTGACATATTGCAAAATTTTATTACAAAGCACACAATTATTATTATATATTATACATTTGTGTAAAACGATAATTGAATCGTTGGTTGGAAAAATATTTAATATTTTAAACTGGACAGGGTAAGTTTTTTTCTCATTGGAAAAAACAGCTTAATGAAATGAGTGCATTTTATTTTTTTGTTGTAAATTTGCAAATTCTATTTATGCTATGTTCAGAATTTTAAATATAATGCATGGGAATGAATGCAAATTTAATATGCAGACAAGTCTTATGAAAAATTCTCAGAGTTCAGAAAATATCACAGATTTTTACACACTAGTTGAATTTTAAATCTATAGTACGGCATGCGTAATTGCAAGGATGCAATTTATTTAAAATTTTGTGGAATTTTAAAAATGCGTTTCGATCCTTTTCTCTAGTTTGATCTAATAAATTTTGTATTTCTAATATATATATATTTAGTTTTATTTATTAAAACTTTCCAAATTAATTTTCTTTTCCAACAAATAATTCAATTATTATTAAAAATATGAAATTTCCATTATTTTCCAATGATAAATCTTTATTAAACTGAGTTAAAACAATCTTATTTATTAATTATATATACACATTTATATAAATTCATTATATTATAAACTTTTTCAAGAGAATTTAGAATAAATAATTTGTAGTAAAACTTTTAAAAGAAATTATTCTAAAGATGACTAGGGTTAACAAATTTATATATATAATATTTTTTTAGCTTCTTTTTATCACAAAAATGAATTCAGATTTATGTTAAAACGTTTATATCATCAATTAAATTTAATTTGTGGGCACATTGAAGAATTAACAAAAAACAAGTTAAGGCAATATATTAATATATTATTTGATTCCTAGTATGATAATCTGACATTCGTCTGATTTACAAAAAAGTATTTTTTGAAATCAATGTATTTATTAATTAAAGTTTACATCGTATGCAAACTAAGTAAAAAAATTAATATTTGCTGTCAGATTTTAGGTATAAAAGCAAAAAGTATTTGTTGCATATCTATTAGTTTGTTTCTTTTCAAAGTAATTATAACAGTTTTTTAAGACAGGAATAGTCATTATTATTATTAATGCTCATATTGTGTAATTAATTCTCTTTGAGGACAAGAAGCATTATAAGAATGTCTGCGAGAAGCTTATTTTATTTAAGGACCCATTAACTCTAGGAGGAGGTAGAGTGTACAACTCCTTAAATAAACAAGCTTCTTGCAGACATTCTCATAATACTTATCATTATGGGTTTATCCAGTCGACCATGAGCATATTGGATGCTAGTTAATGTTCTGTCAGTAAAATTTTGAAAAAGCCAGACGAAATACTAATAGTCAACTTGGCAGACAAGAATTAAACACCATCTAGAATTAGAAACACACTTTATATACTTTTAAAATAAAACTTGGTTTGAATATCGTGTGCTCTAAGATTCCTGTAAGTGTATAATTATCATATATAGTGAGAAAAAATATTTTTCTTTTGTCTGCAGCTTTAATAGTTTATTTTGAAACAACAAAAAAAATGGTGGAAATTTCCACTATTTGTTAAGGGACAGTTCATTATTTAACTGATAAATTAAAAAAAACTACATTTCTGCCTCAAATACCAACAAAATCCACAAGATGATATAATGGAATTACATTTAAGAAAAAAAATATAAATATATATATATTTTTACAAAAAGTTATAATATTGTGAAAGTCATCTTTATTGATATGTTATATATATCCTTCAATTAACGAGATTAGTTTGAATAACAATCATAGTTCTGGTATACATAATTTCTAAGTCTATATACAGAGTTATTTGTAATAATATTTTAGGAAAACATAAATAACTAACTGTAACAATTTTTTTAACATCTGGTAAATGTTTTGTGTATAATAAGCATATAAAACAAAAATATATAATAATCTTTTCTTTTTACAGTATGTAAATTGCCAGCATTTTTGCTAATATACAAAGCAGTACAGTTCTTAATTTTGTTGCTCTGACAGAAAGTGGCGAATAATGGTAAAATGGTAGAAAGTTTGATGCATTACTTTTTACAAGTCACACAGTCCTCCATTGGGGTCTCCTTCCGAAACTTTCTCCAGTATGCCATTGACGAATTCTGTCGTGCGTCCAGCCACTCTTGTAGGATCTGAAATATTTATAATTGCATCTTACTTCTTGATAGATGAAGGTTATATAAATCGATCTATAAATTTAATTTTTAAGGGTAACTAATACAAATTGTGTGACAACAGATGGAAACTCTTAACAACTTTATAGCAAGGAGTTTCCAAAGTGTATGAGTGTTACTTTTAATGCAATTCTGAGCAAATTCTATTAAAAATAATTCTGCCATTGTAGACCCCTTGCAACAAAAAATGGAACTACTTTTGAAACTGTAGAGATAAACATGCTTATAAAATTTTTAATTAATTGTAGACACCCTGGAGATAGATCAATAATGCTTCTTAACCTTGTAAATAAGCAGGACTTCTATACTGAATTTAAGGTGGTAGCTTTTAAGTCCTGTTTAACAATAAATGCAACAACATTTGTTTCCTATTTGTTAAAATCATATAGAGTTCTGAAAAGCTTGTAAACCCACATTAAATAAAATATAACTGTCTGAGGAGGGTCCATAGATGGTCAAATCATGTAATATAAAACATCAAATAAAATGAAACAGAGTTCTAAAAACTTTGTAGGCCTCCATATTGGTGATGAACAATATGGAGGCCTACAATTTTTCTTGTAACAATAAGATTCGTATATGTGGACATGTCAATTTGGAAATTTATGCTAATACAGTAGAGCGTCGGTTATCCGAAACATTGGTTAACTGAAAGCATTCCAGTCGGCAAATTTAAATTTTCGCTAGTGCTGTGGCGCTGCTATCTTGGGCTACTCCAATATTTTTATTGTTGGTGTGTGTGTTTCAGCTGGCAGCACTGGCACTTTTGTGTGGTGTTTTTCTGTGGACTGTGTGTCGTGCAGAATCGAACATTTTTGATACTAGATCAACTTCTAAAATATATATATATATACTTTTTGTGTTTATATTTTTCAATATATTTATTTTGTTTATAAAAAATAAAGAAATAATTTGTAACGCTTGATTATTATTTTAAAAAGTTTATGTTAGGCTTAACATCGATGAAAATTCAATGGGAAGCGACACGCAACGGAGAAAAATTTCAACATGGGATAGGTTAATATATTTTTTCGTACATAATTGGTTATTCAAAAAATAAGTTATCCGAACAACCCCAGTCCCCAATTGATTTGGATAAACAACGCTCTACTGTAATATCATGTAATTACAAGGTTACTGATAAGCTCTGCAAGTTCTCTTTGTCTGTTACATACTTGAGACTGGATAAGATCTTCCAGAATCATTGATGGAAAACAATAGCAACTACCTGGGAGGTTGAAAAACAAGGTGATAAGGAAGTGGCAGCTGGTTTTGGAATGTTGAGATGAATGAGTCAGTGTTTTCAGGCTCATCAGACAAGAAAAAAAAACAAAATGTTGATATATGGGAGTACATTCTAGACTTACATCTATAATAAATTTGAGGACAGGAGTTCATCACATTTAAAGAAAGGGCCTTCTTTTTTTCCGAAGTCCATCTCAATGCAAGAACTTACATTTGTGGTAAGTTCATTATCTCTTTGTCTCATGTATGGCCAGGAATGTTATAATATAACTTATTTTATAATTATATATAGTAGTCTGGTTAACTTGATATTAGATTGTGATGGTTGTCTTTCATGGCATTTTGCTTTAGAAACAAAATTGCTATTTCATAGGATAAAAATTTTTGTACTTAAGATAATGAAATTATTCAACTGAAATCAGTTTTATTTACAGGCTATAAGAGGAAATTAAATCTTGAGAGAAAAATCATGGTTTAGTTTATTGGTTTACAGCAACATGACAGATGGGAGATCTTTTATGGGAAACTGGCCCCTATTTAGGTGTTACTAATCTGGATAGCCTGTTAGCAAGGCACGAACCTGCAACTGACTACCAGTGTTTGGTGGGCAAAAAATCAGATCCTGGAACATTGAAAATGGAACAAGAATCTTCCACCAGGGACACCAGGGAGAACCATTTCATGAATCCTATTGTTCTCCAAAAGAAACTCATCCCTGTAAAAATTATGAGTGCTATGGAAACAGCAAGAATAAGCAGAATTTTGAACAGCCTATATTTGTGAAAGGCTCCTACCATTCCACAAAACAAATATTTGGCTGGAAAAGCTGCAAGAGATACAGTAGAACAATTCTTTAATTTGAAACATTTATTACCAAATCAATATCTGATTGTAGTTTTAAAGCAGAGTTAGGATAGAAGAGGCAAAAGGGTACTAGTTGACTAGGTTAAAGGTGAAATTCAGAAAAGACAAAATATATTTTCTGTCTTTTTTACAGTGGAATCTATGATAGAGTTCAAGGGAAACTGAAAACAGGAAAAGGCAGATTTTGATAATTTTAAAAAATTATTTCCAAATACTCATAGAGAAAACTGAACTATTAAACAAATTCTAATTTATGTCTACAAAATAAAGAAAGAAAGAAAGTCTCTTGCAAATAGAACATTCCAAACTTTAGATGATTGCATGGATGCCATTATGAAACTGGATTCAATAATTAAGGGAAAATGTCTAGTGGAATTTCAAGGTCTCCTAAGCCCCAATTTTTCCAAAGAGAGGACCCTATTTCCAAGCCAATAAGATTGTCCTTGTACAAAGCATATTCATGCAAACAAGCTTCTTATTTGATATCTCAAAAGTTTTAACACTCGTTTAAGAACATAAATGCTCCCAAGGCAAAATGAATTTGAAGGTAAAGTGTTTTTTCTTATTAAAAACCATAATTTAAACATTTGCTGTGTCTGTAAGTCTTGATTCATCTCTAGTTTGTTTGGAAAGAGTCTTTTCATATTTTTCCAACGAATGTTTTAAAATTTAGTTTTTAATGACAATTCTTAGTTCTATTTGAAGTGCTCACTATTGATTGTCTAATCCAATCTCATTTTTATTTTTTAAAAGCATACTGCCTCCACTGCTGGTATGCTGATCTGGGAGGTCAACATGAAACAGCAGTATGTTCAGAAAATCCTGTTCTCTGATGCTGCCTTCTTGGCAGAGCTACAAACAGCCAGAATTTTCCAGGAATATCTCTCCCATTTTGTCATATTTTTTGTCTGCTTATTCTCCAGATTTGTGTTCTTTGAGCATTTGTGGGACTGGACAGGCTGCCAGCTTTGGCTATGTAAGAGCGAGAGTGACCTGGAGCAACAGTTGCAGGGTCTGCATCTTCACATGTATCCATGCAAGAGAAGGTTGTACAGGGTATAGAAATTTTTTATTAACTTGTTCCATTGTTTCAATATTGTAATTGCTTATTACCATATCTTTAACTGTATGAAAAGTATTGATTTACAATTCAGTTATTAGTTTAAAAATATTCAAATGATTTTAATACAGTAGAGCGTCGATTTTCCGAAAGTCAATCATCCGAAAGAATTCCAGTCAGCAAATTTAAATTTTCGCCAGTGCTGTGGCGCTTCAATCTTTGGCTATGTCTTGGGCTACTCAAATATTTTACGTTTTTGATNGAGTAAGTGCTCTCAAGAGCCCCACTAAGGGATATGAATGCAGCTAGATGATGGAACATTGTACATGTGTGAATGAGTTGGTGCGGGTTGCAAGGCCAGTTGTACTCTTCAAGAATAGCAGCTCTCATTAAACTATCCCTAATGTGATTGTACCTATTGCAGTGAAAAACTAAGTACAATAGAACTTCACATTATAAACAGTAACATCTTTTCTTTTCTTACATATTTACCTTGTGCCATGTTTCTTAAAATGTACTCCACACACTCTTGTGGGATTGCTCTTCTTTTCAGATGGGGAAATGTCTTTGTCAACTGGAGTGGATGAGTGCATTTCCTGGCTGACCCATTTTTGGTGAAATAACACTTTTCTTGTATTTTTCGATAATTCATTCTGACACTCAAAAGAAATTCTAGTGATTCTTTCCCCCAGCTTCACCATAGAGAATAAAGGAATTCCATTCAGCAATTTCCCAGCAAATGGAAAAATATCTTTTCATAGCACTTTTTCTTTGTTTTATGGGGATCGGATATGCTGACTTATGCCAATCTGCATGATCAACGCCTCCCATTTTGTCGTTATAATCCAAAACTATCTTTGGCTTTATTATTTTTCCCCATTTTTCAGTATCCACCATGTCTATGGTGTACACTGTTGGTTGACAAAGGACCATGTCCTTTTTGTCTTTTCATCGTAAAGCAAGGACTTTTCCTCTTCTACAAATGTAAACACAAATTTCTCTTTTCAGCAACTTACGTTTTAGGGTGAGTGACATGTCTTTGAGTGTAATTTTCACCGTACATATCCGTAGAATTTGGAATTATAAAATCTGCCAGCTGTGGGGATTTATAAAAATTGTCCATTGTCGGGCAGTACCCTTGTTTCAGGCGTGATTTAGTAAGGGTCAGAACCACTTTAATAGATACAGAAAAACTTGTGAACTCTGTGTCAAACTCTGTACCTTTCCTAGTGTAAATAATTATAGACTACACGTATAGACCACTAATAGATTTGTATGGCATATAAAACTTTATTCCTTATTTCAAATCTGCCCCTTTTCAAGTGGAATATACCAAACTATCCAAGTCAGCTCTTGTCCATGTTAATAACCCTTTCTGGAATGTAAGAGTGAAATTTATTCTGTAGATACCAGTACACTTGCCAAATCTTGTTTAGCTTTGGACACAGGTGATTTGAGGAATTGTAAGCTTCGTTGTCAGAAAAGTTTAGACATCTTTTGATCTGGCAGAATCTTTTGTAGGACATAACTTGATTGAAAAATAGAGATGCAATGCTTCCTTGGCAAGATCAATACATCTGTACAACATTTTGCAAAATTGAAAGCACAAAGAAAATTTGAAGTTTGCTGCATGTTGGAGGAAGAATATTAGGATCTCAGGTAGATGTGCACAGATTGATGTATTTTACAGTTTCCTTTTGTACGGTATCCGGTAAATTGTTTTCAAAAAAAGTATTCAAATATTTGCAGATCATTGTCACCATAATCAACAGTTAGACCAGGATTTCCA